TGGTCTCCTATGTGAGGAAGAGCAGAAAAGCCCCCAAAGGGGGCAACAAGTCTTAAATTTATGCTCAAGGAGGGCAGGAGGAAGGAAGAGCTGGGAAACCAGCAGGTAGGAGGCATCCAGTCTCTGGATGGCAGCAGTGTTGAAGGCATGTTCTTCCAATGGGCATCATATTGGGAAGTGCCAGTTACATTCCTGGAGATCTCTGCCATCTGTGGCTGGAATCATCTGCGGCTTAGCAGCTCCCACAGCTGGCGCCAAAGGACAGGAGACCTCGGCCCCAGCCACCATATCTTCCTCAGCCACCAAAGCCTCCATATCCACCAAAGCCTCCATATCATCCACAGCTACCGTAGCCTCCATAGCCCCCATAGCCACCAAGGCCTCCGTAGCCACCAGAGCCACCATAGCCTCCATAACCACCATGGCCTCCATAACTGCCACCGTAGCCACCGGCAATAGCAGGGACTCCTGCTGAGCCCACAGCACTGTGCTGCTGGAAGGAGCTGAGGATGGGTCCAGGGAAGGTGACCACCGAAGCTGGGGGCTGAATCACCACAGATGAGCTCTGGCACTGACGCACGCAGGGCTCGTTGGTGGTGTCAGCCAGGGGGCATGGGGCGGCCACCCCACAGGAAGGGGCACACAGGCTGCATCAGGACATTCTTCTCTTCAGAAAGAAGAGTGTGCATCAGTGCCAGAGCTCCTCGGTGGTGATCCAGCCCCCAGCCACGGTGGTCACCTTCCCCGGACCCATCCTCAGCCCCTTCCCGCAGCACAGCGCTGTGGGCTCAGCGGGAGTCCCTGCCATTGCTGGCAGCTACGGTGGCAATTTTGGTGGTCGTGGTGATTATGGAGGCTCTGGGATATATGAGGCTACAGATGCCTTGATGGCTATGGAGGCTATGGCGACTGTGGTGGCTATGGAGGCTTTGGAGGCTTTGGCAGCTGCAGAGGCTCTGGGGGCTGTGGATATGGTGGCTGGGGCTGAGGTCTCTTGTCCTTTGGTGCCAGCTGTGGGAGCTGCTAAGCCGCAGGTGGTTCCAGCTGCAGATGACATATAGCTCCAGGAAAGCCTGTGGTACGTCATCATGATGCCTTAAGGAAGGACATCCTTTGAACTCTTCTGGAACTCAGAGCTTGGATGCTTCACGTCTCCTTGTTGCCAAGCTATGTCTTCCTCCTGCTCCCTTCAGTACCTTTTTATGCCTCACTTCCCATGTCAGTGTAACCCTATGATGGATGCCTGCTTTTGCACATGGTTGATGCCATTTGCTATGAGATATCAGCTGCCCTTTACCTCATCCATGTCTCTTCTCTCAACTCCCCCCCCAAACTGCAGTGAAAGCTGTGTTGCATTGCAACGCTGACCATTTTGGCAGCTTCATGATTTTTGTTTTTCCAGTCACTGCTTCTGTTTTGGTTTTTTTGTTTGTTTGTTTGTTGCTCACATTTTCCATTGTATTTTCCACCCTTAAACCAAGAACAATTAACTTTTTTGTCTGAATTTATTCTTCACTTTGCTGTTACTATCTCTAGATCAATAATGTGAGCAATAATTCCAGAGCAATAGTGTGAAATGTTACATCAACATTAATCTGCTTATCACATTTGTGGAAGCTCTGAATTTCTCTCAGAAAAGTGTTTTGAACTGCAAGGTAGGGATGTTCTAGCAAATCACGAGATTCATTACAAAAGACAGATTTCAAAGGTGAAATACCACTTTCTGGGTCTTTTTTGGTCTGTAGGGGAAAGTTAAACTAGTGGAATATTTCTTTCCTACTCCTACTCTGCACCCTCTTCCCACCCAGTCATGATGCTTGGTGTGATGCACTGAGCATTCGCCATGCAATGGGGCTGGTGCATTCATGAGTGCTGTCATCTGTGGGCAGTTTGAGGGCATCCTTCCCCCTGTGACCTCAGGGAAGCTCTGCAGAATGTGTGGGGAGGACATGTGTGGGCTCTGCATTTCTGCACCCCTCTGGCTGCACTGCAATATCCACATCTTGCTTTAAGCTGGGAAAGTTGCTGTGTCCTGAGATGGAAGTGTCAAATTAGCACCTGAGCATTACCTGAGGTCTTGCAGGGATTGCTGTTACAAGTGGCAACTTCCAGAGAGACTCAGGCTGGGCCTGGGGAAGTGTCAAATGGTTCAGCATGTATTTAATGACATTGTGTAGAAAAGTATTCCTGGGATTTTGTGACCTTTGCACTTGAAGAAGAAACATGGAAAACCTATGATCAAGGATAAATTTACTATATATTCAATCGCTAAGTAAAAGAAGAAGGAAATAATTATGATAATGAAAATCAGGAGGCAGACTTTGGTACAGAAAATTTATTTCGGAAGAGACAGCTTTTCTACAATTCTGAAACAAAATTGTACAGAATATAAACACCATCTTTCCAGGGATCAGTGAGGTTCTGGCTAATCACCAGGGTTAAAGTGATGCAGTCTATAAAAAATGGGGTTTCTTCCTTGGCACAGTTGCTGTGTGCAATTTCTAGCATCCTAAGTCACCACTCTAAGTTCAGTGTCAATAATATAACTGAAATAAGACAAAGCACAATGTAAGCAGATGACTAACGTGGAAAGCCAGAGAATAACAGATCTAAACTAAAGGCAAAATGAGAAAATGCACACACGAACCTGCCTTTCACAGGTGCTGAGCATTCGCAGTTCTCATTTGCAGCCAGACACCACCCAACACTGGGGCTGGTGCCCATCAGCTCCACCCCCAATTTGCATCTTGAGTTTCCTTTGCTGCTTCTTTAAACCACTCTGTGCACACCTCAGTATGTCCACCGCTTCCCAGAGCGGTACGAATTGCATGGATGTGTCCATTGGGAAGAATAGGTGTAGGAGTATTTAGGGGCACACCGTAGCTCAGGTCGGGCGATGACAGGGGCTGCAGCTTTCTCAGTTGCTGCCTCCAGCCTCCCCATTGTCTCCGCTGGCAGAGGTGCTGCTGTGGGAGCCTCTGCTAGGGCCACCTCGGAGGGCTCTGAGGCTCCCACGACGGTTTGCTGCGGGTAGGTGGTGAGGATGGGCCCTGGGAAGGTGACAACGACGGGGGGTGGGTATATGATCACCCGGGAGTCACCACAGGCCACGACGCAGGGCTCGTTGCTGCTGGTGGCCAGGGGTTGGGGACACTTGGCATCGCAGGGGTTGGTGCATGCCAGCTGCTCAGAAGCCATTGCCTGGCCGTGGTAAGGGAATGCCTGCAATTTATTTGCACAATTAGTAAAAACAATAAAAATCTACGCAGTTGGTTATTGACACTTCAAAGAGCAGTTCTGCGAGATCTCTAGACAGAGATAATTTGGCTAAAGACAGTAGTTAAACTCCTTTCACGCTATCTACCACCTTTCACTTAGCTTGCATCTGTTTGGCCTTTCTAATTTGCTACTTCAAGCTTGCCCTCTTTCTTTCTTTTGCTCTGGGAGAGCAAAACCCCTCCCTTTTCTTTGTGTGCCGACTCCAAAACTGACATCTGCTCTAAAACCTCCCCGTCCTTTGTGGTGTTTCCTGGAGACAAGTTTGAACTTGTTCCCACAGCATTTCTTTTCCTCCCACACAGCTTCTCAGCCTGTGTTTTGCAGACGGACCATAAGGGAGCAAGGGGAAAATGATCCGGGTTTTTTAATAACTTTGAGTGTTAGATCATCTCTTTAGCAGCCCGATTAAGTTCCTACATGATTTTCCTTGCAGATTCCTGTTATTTTCGATGCTAAAGTGTTCCAGTAAAACACAGAAAAATGTAAGGTAAGAATAAATGGGGGTTTAAAAATACTGGTTTAGTTGGACACATAACTTAAAATGTTGTCAGCCCAAATAAGAAAACTTCAGCTTCTGTTAAGGTTAAACACATTTCATACTGTTTATTTATTTTACTGGTTCTCCATTGTATAGCATTGCATTGTATTTTAAGCTTGTAAATCAAAGATGCCTTATTATGATGAATAAGGAGAAAGTATTGTTTTACTTCCAGTTAAGTCCTGTGTGCTGCTGTCCTTGAGAACATTTGGAAGACAAAAGTAAGGCTTCAGGCAGCTTTGCAGCTCTCCTAAACAGAAAATGCAGGAAGTTTCTAAAGCTGATGGTGTGCAATTTGGAGCTAATCTCCGAAATCAGCCAGTCTTATCTATGGAGAGGTAAAATACAGGATCTAAAATACGTAGCCAGCAATACTTTCTGGTAAATAAGATATTTCATTGCCAAACATACAGTAAAAATATCCTGAAAACAACTTTACTTCAGAAGCTCAGTGCCATTTTTCACCAGGTACTAACAAAGTGCTGGCACAGGGGAGTTGCCACCGAGCTCCTTGATCTGTTTACTTAGCTCAGAGCAAAGCAAATCTATCCTGAAATGTATCATTCTGGGGAGAAAAAACAAAATACAAGGAAAAAAAAAAAAAAAACAAAAAAACCCAGGCATAGCATTTTACCCCAAATACTTCTAGGTTAGTACACAAATTTAACTTAAAAAATGCTTAATTTAATCTCGGTTAAGCCACATTGAAATACTAGTGGAGTTTTAATAGAAATGAATGCTTATTCCCACTGTTACATTAATGATAATATCTAATCATCACTTGGTGTAGCTTGTGACTCCATTTAGCTAAGGATGGCTAGGTTATGAACAGCAGCAGCGCTGCATGTCTAGAACTACACAAAACTAACTTTGAACAAGGATTTTTACTTCAATAGTTATCTGTGAAATCCCCCACCTAACAGCTGCTCAATCCCCCTTGTAAACCAGATAAGCCAAACCAAAAGCAAAATTTGTTCTCAGAGCTCTGCTAAAAATATTTCAGGACTAAGACTGAAATTCCTAATTCCCCCATGAAATTAACAGCCCAAATCAGTCTTGAGAAGCCCTTACTTTTATTTTTGCATCTTTTATCTAGTATAGAAAGCCTCTGCTGAAAGATGCTTATTAATGTCCCTCACAGCCAGAATATTTATGCAGGATTTAGTCCCAATTTTAACAAAAAATTCATGATAAAGCAAAATGAAACTCAAGGTTTTTATAGTTGTCAAATCAGACTTACTCAGCGCACCGGAGAGAACAAGTCAAGAGAAGCAGTTAGAAAAAACTTGCATGGAGAGAGTATTTATACCCTTTATTAGATTGCCTGGAGGAGCTGAGACACCCTTTGTATAAAGGCCTTAATTACTTATGAACCAAACCCTGTTGCATGTATTACTGCTGTAGTTGCAGTAATTGTTTTGTTCACTGTTTATGATTATCTGAAGCTGAGTTGGGTAATAACGCAAAATGCAGATGGTAACTTGCAAGTTCTTTTAATCTTGAAATTTCCTGGTTTTACTCTACTGATTTCATTAAGAATTAAAAATGCAGTAAGGATTAATAGGCTTCTGGGGACTTATCTTTGCTAAAAACACCACTGCATGGGGCAACGCACAGTGTGGCAACACACACAAGATTTCCTTATTGGAAATATAAGGTAACATCTAGTAAGTGTCTCCATGGTTAGCTAAATCTCTAGAAAGACAGAGTTTGGTTTTCATCTGATATAATGTTAATAAGGTTTATGGATGTGCTCTTTAGCCAGGGAAGTAGCTGGTGCTAAAACTTTAAAGAGCAAAACTCACAGATTTATCTTTTAAATAAAGATGAAGCCATCTCCAATTATGAAGCTTAAAATGAGTAGATTGAATGTTTTTCATATTTCAGATGCATAGGTCAGAGCAGTCTAAATCCACTGGGATATTATTGCTATTAAAATAATTTTCATGTATGCCTTAGTAACAGATGTTTGTGAACTTCATTTGGAATCTCATTTCCTGATGTCTTCAGAATATTCTTGATAAGCTCCACAGCCCAGGGGATCTTTATGGGCTCCATATAAAATAAGAATAATTAATGTCATAAATGCATTGTGTCATAAACACCATGCTGCTGATGGATTTAATTAATTTAAATATGTTTGACATTTTGGTGCATGAAACTTCCCTCCGGTGGGAAGAGTGAGTGTGGTGAAGGGATTTCTGGGAATATGGGTGTACTGCATGAGCACTTTGACAGTTCCTCCCAGTAGCCTCTGCCACTGGAGGGAGCCACTGTGTGCATGGGAGCCTCCCATCACCTTGTGCATAGGGGCAGAGGTGAGTCAATCGGTAGCAGATGGGGTAATGTTCAGCCTGTTGGTGTGTGCTGTGGCAGAGTTGGCCTCAGATTTTCATGGTTTGATCCTAACAAGGTAGGATGAATGTCATATGTCACAGGAGCTCACAGTGTAGCTAAAAATACAGTCTAGATTATTTTTCTTCCCCTGCCTAAGTTGTCAGTGCTTCTTGGTTCTAACTCTTTGGTAGTTCCTAGCTGGAAGATACAGAATCTTAGAATCATAGAATGGTTTGGGTCAGGAAGGACTGAAGATCATCCATTCAAAACCCCTGCCATGGACAGGGACACCTCCCACTAGACCAGGTTGCTCAAGGCCTGACATCTCCCTTCCAAGGTTCACATCGAAACTCTTAGTTCAAAACATTGGTATTAATACACATATAGCAAGTATGAAAGTCACCCCCACAAAAGAATTCTAGCAAAGCACCCTGGATTCTTCTCTCACTTGAACTCTGTGGCATTTGGGAGATCCATGACAGAACTTGGAGCTGAATCCTTGCTGTCATATTAAGATGAAATCCCTTGACTACAAACTAATTCAGTCTTCAGAATTCTCCCATAATGTAATAATCCTACGCAAAATTTTCTCTTCTTCCCCTTCTTCTACTCCCCCTGCAGTTTGTGTTTAGTGCTCTGTTGAGTACTAACTGCTATAGAGTGACCAAGAAATGTAATAAAGTCAATAAAGTGCAGACAATAATGCAGACTGCATACACCACAATATAGAATGTTAATATTGTTGGTGCCTATTAATTTTAAATTGTTTTAGAAAATTATATCCTTGTGTAAGACAGGGACAGCAAAAATAATGGCTGTTGCCTAGCTAAGATATGGTTTATGTGGTCAAACCAGTTCAACTTCAGAGCACAGAAGTTTTGTTTGTAAAGCTGAGTCAGGAGCATTTGCTAATGAAGAAGTAATCAAAGGAAAACGCTTGGGGATGGATGCTCTGCTGATGCAGGTCTGCAACATTCATTCTCTTCACTTCAAAGAGGCTCTACTTGCTTACATCATCTGAACACATACTATATCAGCAAGAATTCTGCCCATTAGACAAGTGTGAACTGAAATATAGGTACAGATTGGTAGCAATAGTTATGTAGTAGTGTATAGATCTACTAGTTCTTACACCATCAGAAGCTTTGGCTTTCTGATTTTATACAAACAAGTGAAAGTTGAATAAGCCAAAATTTGAGGCAATGAATCACAGCCTAATTAGGACAATGCCAGAAATGACCTTGATAAATCTCCTTTAAGGTGATACTATTGCCCAACACTAGGCGTCACCTACAGCTATTATGATAATACAACTATTTGCATAGGCAATGCATTAATAAATGTTTGTGAAACACTTTCGGTCCTCGAAACATTCCCATGGTGTTTAATTATGCAGGGTGTTTCCAGAAACACCTCATAAATCCTAATTTATGGCAGAAAGAGCATGATTTAACAGAACTACAGCTACTAGAAAAAAGTAATTCATGGAATGGGTACATGAGAGGGAGAAGGATGGTCTTCTCCAGCATATTTGCCATCTTAAGAGAACAGAGGCTTTTCTGAAGGTCTTTTGATAACCTTTTGTGGGTAAAACTTTCTTGTATGATGGCCTCATGATGTGTGCAATTGCTGGCTGGCTTCTGGAAGGCTTTCCAGCCTTCTCACTCCTTCACAAGTGTGGAGGGCTGGGATGCACCCCAGCTTTGGCTTTACCACAGGTATCTGGGGCTTAGCAGACCAGCAAAAAAAAACAAAATACAGTTGGAGACCCAGGACTTTAACTTTTTTTTCTCACTTCTAGCTGGGATAAAACTAGATCATGTATACTGAAAAAATGGCAATACTGTCAAAAACCTTATCATTTGGCATGATAAACTTAGAAGAAAGAAATCTTGAAGGAGCACAGAAGGGAAGGGCATGATGTAGGGCAGAAGGCAGACACCACCCTCACTACGTGCTTACGAGAACAGTAGTGAAATGTATTGTAATACAAGAAAATCAGGATGCTAGCTTGTTCTGAAATTATTTAGATGTTGTAAAATATATTTGGAGTATACTTATGTTGTATGCTCTCCCTGATCACGGCATGATTTCTATCTATTGTTAATCCTGTTTCTTGGTTTATAGGTGGAAACCCGAGTCATGCAGGTAAGTCACAAGATGCTGAGTTAGCTCTGCAAGATTTGCTCTCCACAGCTCCCTCTGGTTGCCCCAGATGACATTACACAACCTGCCTCACTTTCCTTTTAAGTCATGAGCTTGTTTTGTTTTGTTTTTTTGTTTTGTTTTTTTTTTTTTTTATTACCCACTTCCCAAGCAACCACCTCAGCTCTTCATTGTATGGCATTAGGCAGCAGGTAGCAAACTGTTTTCCTTCTGTCATGCGTAAGCCCTTGCCTTCAGAGAATTGTTATCTTTTGTCAATATACATATAATTATGGATGCTGAAGATAGTGGCTGGTTTCCTAGAGATAAGGAGCAAACCAGGCTGGGTCATAACTGTATAAATCAGCTTTATGTTACCTGTAATGTCACAATTAAAATGAAGGCTACATTGTGCTGGCTATGACATAGCAACATAAGGGATGTTCCCTGAATTGGATCAGATCTCAGAACATCAGTCTGACAAGAAATGGGGAAGGAGCTATTGTCACCATTTATAGATCAGGAATGGATGGCACAAAAGTTAAAGGCTGAACTGCCATTCCAGGTGAGCACAAGTTAAAGAGAAGATAAGCTGGGCCATTTGAGAAGATATATGGCAGGGGAATGAATGAAGATAATAATAAATAATAAACTGAAACAAGAGGGGTTCAAATTGATAAATCTGGGCAAGTCCAGGTTAGTTAAAAGGAAGAAGCTATTTACTGTGAGGGTGGTGAGGCACTGGAACAGGTTGCCCAGAGAAGCTGTGGCTGCCCCATCCCTGGCAGTTTTCAAGGCCAGGTTGGACAGAGCCTTGGGTGACATAGTCTAGTGTGAGGAGTCTCTTCCCATCGTGGGGTGTTGGAACTAGATGATCTTAAGGTCCTTTCCAACCTAAATCATTCCACTGATTCTGTATAAGCAGGAGGAAAAAAATTGCCCATGAAGGGAACCCTCAGCATTATGGTCTGAATTCAGAGTTATCCTGCTTTAAATGAGAGGTTGGATGGCAGACATATGAAAATGTTAGAAATGCAGAATTAGATCCTCAGCTGGTGCATATTTGCTTTATTAATCTTTAAAATCTGTCATTTTCAGTCATGTTATCTGAAATACAGTGTGCAGATTTGAGATGTTGCCTTAAAGCACAATTGTTTCCTAATGAGTAGCCAACATACAGAATCAGTCTTGATGTATTAAAAAAGAAAAAAAAAGGGTAGTTTTGAGTTGTGTGGTATCAGAGCTTGCCGAAACACTGGTGATGTCTAATACCATAGTGTGGTGCTTGTAGAAGATGTTGTACAGCCTTCACAAAGTTCTTTGAAAGTATTTGTGCTCAGCCTTCAACAGGATATATTTAACAAGTGAATTTTAACCCTGCAGGGGAATCCCACACATTCATTCATCTCAAATTTTAAAGACAATTTATGGCATGGAAATTTGAAATTATTTAATCAGGAAAAAACCACAGGAATGTAAACAAATCATGCAGGAGAATGAATGAAGTGTTTTTAGCAATCTGTGGGTGTAGCAGCTAAATCTGATGTGATTCACCCTGTGTCCTCCTTGGCAGACCTCAGGCTTCTGTTGGTTAGAGGGTGAGAAATGCTGTCCAGCACAGACATCTGCTCTCACATATCTGCCCTGGGGGGTTGACTTTTAATGGGAATTGAAGTACTCACAGGTCAAGGTTTAGAACTAATGATGACTGTATTAACAATGTATCAAGAATGAAGATTTTATGTGTAATTTAAAGTGATGCTATTACTTGATATTTGAATGTAAGGAGTCTGATAAGAAAAGTTTTGATTCATCCTCTTTATTTGTTCCAATCTTTTGTGTGGGAAAGGCAAAAACATGTTTGAGATGAGGA